TGTGTTCCTGCAACTTCAGATTTGCAAGATAGTGTCCAGTTACCTCAAGTGTCCGAGGACGCTCTGACTACCTTGAGTGCTGAGCCTATCCCTGCAATGTCTGCTATTCAAGTAGTAGTTTCTCCACAGGGGACGCCTTGTCGGAAAACAATTACTTGCAACTAGTAATGCCATCTCTTGTTGATGTCACATGCCATCTGCAGAAAGACGTTTCTGTCGCAACTAGTGCCCTCACTAGAGTGTCTGTTGTTGTTCCTAGTGTTCCAGATGGTGATAACGTCCTAGTTGACAGTGATTCCTGCAAAGTAAAAGGTCTATTTGTTGAACCATCCTTACATGTTGTAAGAGATAGTAAGATCCATTTCTTTCTAGCCAACACTTCTGGTCACAGTGTTCGTCTCAGAGCAAATACCAATCTTGTTGACCTTGTTCACTATCCTTACCCTGTTCAGGTAGAGGATGAGTTGTCACCTGACCAGTGGGTCGGTGCTATTTCTGCCGGGGAGACCTCATCCACTTCACTGGATCAATCTGTTCCACCAGTTGAGGAGAAAGACTTAGCTCCCACTGACTTCCCAGATGAAGTCAAGCGTTTTGTTGACTCTGTTGAACAAACGTCGTAAAGCCATTGCCTTACCAGGTGAGAAGATGGGTATAACGAACTTATTGTCCCATCGTATTCCACTTGAACCTGGTACTTAGACCTATCTACATACCTGCGTACAGAATGCCTCATTCACAAGTTGCTGTCGCAGAAGAATTGATCAATCAAATGCTTGATGATGGAGTTATTGCACCTAGCAATTCACCTTGGAATGCACCCTTGATCCTAGTACCTAAGAAGGATGGTACTTGGCGCCCAGTGATGACTTTAGGAGTTAAATGCGAAAACATTCCAGATCGCTTCCCACTCCCTGTACTGGGTGATCTTTTACGTAACATCGGAGATAACAAAGTTCTTTTCAACCCTGGATTTGTTACAAGGGTTTTGGCAAGTCCCTCTTCACGAGGACAGCCAAGAGCTAACTGCATTCTCCACTCCTACAGGTCATTATCACTTCCTCCGTATGGCGTTTGGATTACGATCCTCCCCTACACGTTCTCAAGGCTCATGACTAATTTCTTTAGAGGTCTCATTAGGTAATGCACTTATGGTGTACTTAGATGACGTAATCGTCATGTCTAAGACGTGGATACACACTTGAAAAGACTTGATTGTAGTACTTGGTAAGCTTGAAGAAGCCAATTTAAAGATCAAACTGTCTAAATGTAATTTTTCAGATCAGAAATTAAGTTTCTTGGTCACGTAGTCACTCCTAGAGGGGTTACGACTGAACCAAGTAAAGTAACTGCAGTACTAAATTTTCCAACTCCCAAAACTGCTGATGCCGTAAGATCCTTTTTGGGCTTAGCAGGTTTTTATAGATCTTTTATTGCCAATTTTTCTTCCATAGCTGCTCCTCTAACTGAGTTGCTTAAGAAAGATGCTCCTTTTGTTTGGACGTTCCGTCAAGAAAGAGCATTCCAAACTCTAAAAGAAAAGCTAACATCTGCTCCAATTTTTAAATTTCCAGATTTTTCTAAGCCCTTCTATCTGACAACTGATGCTAGTTCAATTGGCATAGGTGCCGTACTAGCTCAGAAGACCGATGGCAAGTACAACGCAGTTGCATTTGCTAGCCGAGTCCTTACGAAGGCTGAACGTAATTATACAGTAACTGAGGCAAGAAGCTTTAGCATAGTATGGTCTTTAAAGCACTTCCGAGACATTTATCAGTACTCTGTTCATGTCTTGACAGACCATGCTCCACTGATACCTTTATTCCAGAACAAACAACCTACTGGAAGGTAGCCAGATGGACCTTGACTATCAAGAGTTCAATCCCACCTTTGAACACTTACCTGGCAAGTCAAATGTAGTCGCAGATGCCTTATCACGACATGTTAGTATAGTAACTGCAGACCCTCCATTTAGTGCTGAAGATGTAAAGAATGCTCAACGAACAGATCCCATGTGGTCTGGTGTGATTCGATTCCTGCTCCAGGAAGATCTATTCTGACTGTGAAGCCACCAGCACCCATCAGTGACTTTGTCACGAACCAAGAATTACTGTATCGAACAGCCGAGTTGGGTACTCCTAGCAGAAGAGCATACCAGTTAGTAATTCCACAGTCACTAGTGAATGTAGCCTTACAGCTAGTTCACGATGTACCAGGTGTTGCGCACCCTGGTATGGATCGTTCAGTAAAACAAGCCAGATTGAAATACTTTTGGCTTCATATGGCAACTGATATTTCTGAGTATGTTAAGAAATGTAGTGTCTGCATGCAACATAAAGGTAATGCTAATGGTCCTAATCCAATCCAAGTGTATCCAACTACTAGCGAACCTTGGGAAAGAGTTGCGCTAGATTTGTTAACTAATTTCCAATGTTCCCTCCAGGGCAACAAACATCTATGTGTTATGGTAGACCATTTCACCAGATATTGTGAGTTAGTTCCTATTGCAGATAAGACTGCCGAGACAGTAGCTAAAGCGTTTAAAGAACGCATTATCTGCAGGCATACCACCCCTAAGTCCCTAGTAACAGATAATGGAGGTGAATTCTGTAATGAGATTCTTGAAAATTTGTGTACCTTGTACAAGATCTCTAAATCCACCATTGTTCCTCATCATCCTGCCAGCAATGGGTTAGCGGAACGTACCAATAAGAAAGTACCTGATGTCTTGAGCCACTATCAATCCCAACAGTGAAACTTGGGATGAAGTTATACCTGATGTGCAGTGTGCTATAAATTCTGCTTACAATGTTTCTATAGGTGACACTCTACATTATGCATTGTATGGTGTAGATAAACGTTTGCCTTATGAGTTGTTATATTCTAATCCGAAACCAAATTACAACCCTGATGATTTCATAGCAACTCGTACCAGCTTAGCTCAAAGTGTTTTTAGAAGAATCCGTGAAACACTTCATAAATCAACAGCAGAATTTACAAGAGTGGCAAACACTCGAGCAAAGCCATCCAAAATCAAAGTAGGTTCGAGAGTTATGCTGGCTAACTTTAACAAAACGTCTGCAGTGCCAAAGCTTGATCAAAAGTTTGTTGGTCCTTATCGAGTAGTTGAACATCTCACTGGTAATAAGTATAAGGTTAGAGAAATTAGTACTGGTCAGTATAAAGAATCGCATTTAGATCATATGAAGTTAGTATGTGATGTTAATGTGTTCAACCCAGACTAATGTGACAGACTAACAATCCTCCTGACCCTGTACTCTCTTCCTCTGATACTCAGTCAGACGATCAACCTGAATGTCGTTATTCCCTACGTACACGACAGGTATTGAGAAATCCTCAAGCATTCATTTGTAACTACCAATTCAGATTTGCCTCAAATACGCATGAGTTAGCCAGTGCAACAGAGTTTGATCCTCCCAGAGATGACACCCATTCTGCATATGTCAATCTCACCCTAGCAGAGTTGGGGTTAAATGTAAATAACCTGTATAGATGAATAATTACAGTATCAGCTTATCAGTATTCAAGAATTTTTTTTGTGTGTCACGTTCTCTCCGAATTCTGAGAGTTAACAGTCTAGATTTGAGTGCACCGAATCTGCCTTTCTGTTAAACACTTCTTTCTTTGTATATATTCCTTCCTCAGAATCCGTAGATCACATGAATACAGATCGATCAATCAAATTTTTTTTTTATCACTTCTACTGTGTAATCTCAACGTTGAGTTTCATTCGATGAGTTGTGCTATATTATACCTTGTATTGCATTACAGTTTCAGTTACGTAAGCTTCCATTCCAATATTCTACTTATGTATGTTATAATGTTCAATTGTAGTGTACTTTGACATTGTATAGAATCAGCCCAAGCCGTATACCTGCCATCTCTAGTTTGTATTAGTTGTATGTCGGGACGACATATGTTAGCGTCGCCGAGCTCTCAGTAGTAGTACCAGTTCCTAGTAACCAGTTACCAGTAACCAGTGTATCAGTAGATGACTCACTACCAACTGTCTCTGCGTGAATCACTGACTGTATTCATATTGCTGCTGACCATAGCAGAATTTCAAATGCCACCTCACCCATAGACACTGGTGGGTCAGTTAGTCTAGTCTTACGATAGAGAGCAGAGAGGCAGGACGGCGGTTGGCGCCTTCACACACATTCCGTTATATTATACGTACTACCAGCCTACGTGAGTATTTCTACCCTATCCACGTTTTCGAAACCCACATGACATGTATCCATCATACTGGAAACATGATAGAATGTATCCATCATACTGGAAACATGATGGAATGTATCCATCTTACTGGAAACATGATAGAATGTATCCATCATGCTGGAAACATGATAGAATGTATCCATCATACTGGAAACATGATAGAATGTATCCATCATGCTGGAAACATGATAGAATGTATCCATCATACTGGAAACATGATAGAAATGTATCCATCATACTGGAAACATGATAGAATGTATCCATCATACTGGAAACATGATAGAATGTATCCATTATACTGGAAGCATGATAGAATGTATCCATCATACTGGAAACATGATAGAATGTATCCATCATACTGGAAACATGATAGAATGTATCCATCATGCTGGAAACATGATAGAATGTATCCATCATACTGGAAACATGATAGAATGTATCCATCATACTGGAAACATGATAGAATGTATCCATCATACTGGAAACATGATAGAATGTATCCATTATACTGGAAGCATGATAGAATGTATCCATCATACTGGAAACATGATAGAATGTATCCATCATACTGGAAACATGATAGAATGTATCCATCATGCTGGAAACATGATAGAATGTATCCATCATACTGGAAACATGATAGAATGTATCCATCATACTGGAAGCATGATAGAATGTATATATATTACTTACTGTCTTGTATATGTTTTCCTGTTAAACTTTCACAAAGTAATTTTAGTGGCAATAAAAAATATCCATATTTTTTCAGTCTTTATTTTCATGGTGACTTTAAACACTTTGCATAAAATGTGAGTGTTGTTGTTACAAAATGGACACTATTCTTTGTGACAAGAATTTTATATAACTGCTGATCACCTTACCCATACCTCACATCATCATTAATCATCCCGCTGGTACCTCACATTAGTGCTCATGCTACCCATACCTTACAGCAGTGTTGATGACATCGCTCATTCCCCGCATGACTGTGGATTATCTAACCCTTCTAAACACTGCCGACAAACTGTCTCAACCTCACTGATCCACTGATTGCTCGATTACCACTTATCAATCACCGATGATCGTAATCAATGAGCTAAGAACTAAACATCTCAGAGTAATTTTTTCTGGAGTGAAACAGTGATGATCGGGGCATCAAGTTAATAAGACTCCCGTTAGAGGCTTTTTTTGGGGGGAGGGGGGGATAAATAAAATAAAAAAGAACTTTCCGTATCAAAGTTAAATCATTAAACAAAGTCATAACTTGAGTCATAATTGAGACCGCTGAAATTTTTACAAAGTTTTTTAATGAACCATTAAATGGTAGTTATGTAATCTTGGCTGGTTCTGATGAAAATTTACCAACACTCTTTTAAATTTCGGGAGAGTATCCTAAGAATCCACGAAGGCGGTCGGGGCCGGCACCTGCGAACCCCAGTGACTTACCGGTGCCTCTCTGGATTGCACGAACGGCTGAAAGGTAAACATCACCTCACATATAATCTAGACCTTCAAGAGAAAATATTAGAAGAATTTTCGATTTGCCTTGGTACGTCTTTAACTCACGAGCAAGAGAGAACATTTGAGAACATAAGTAGACATGTCAAGTGAAGAGGTAATGAGAAAGGTAAAAGGCAGAAAGGGGAAAAATATTCTAATGGCATATCAGAATATGGGCTCAGGAAAAAGTCAAGAACAAGGCAAATCATATATATCAGTAGATGGTAGGTATAATACCAATAAGCTGATAACTAAGACTGGGTGCCTTGACAGAGAGACATTTCACATACACAGCAAACCGTGTGAATTTGACACAGTTACAAGAGGACGGAGAATTCTATACTATAGCCAGTGGAGGAAATGGTGAGAGGCAAAAGGTGAGAACACAGTCACATGTGGGCGGGACCTGCTAGTGACAGTAAGTCAGGCCCATATGGCCTTTCAGAGATTTAGCAATAATGTTGTAAATATGGAGAGATGCAGCAGTCTCTATCCTCATGCCACTGTATTAAAATGGTAAAGTTTGCTGTTCAGCCGAAACGTCTTTCACTGAAGATACCCATGTGTTGCACATTTAACCTGCTCATCAAATCACTTGTGTCCTGAAGACTGGAGCATTTAATAATGTATTTATACAAGTGACCATTAACAGAAACAAAACTTGGTACAATATAAACCCTTTCTACGCTGGAATTCCGTAAGATATATTAGTATTCGTTGTTAATACATAGTTAATATATTAATATAGTTGTTAATATAACATATAGTTAATATTTCCTTTAGCTACTGTGTAACTTACAGACGATTCTTTCCTTTGGGTTCTTGGTGATGGTTCCCGTCAGTGGGTACTTGGAGCCTCCATCCACGGCATTGCTTTCCAAAAGACCTGTGAAACAAGCGAAGATCACAGTTTACGTGTGTGTGTGCGTGTGTGTGTGTGTGTGTGTGTGTGAGTGTGTGTGTGAGTGTGTGTGTGCGTGTGTGAGGGGTGTGTGTGTGAGTGTGTGGTGTGGGTGGTGTGTGTGTGTGTGTGTGTGTGTGTGTGTTGTGTGTGTGTGTGTGTGTGTGTGTGTGTGTACGCACCTATTTGTACTCACCTATTTGTGGTTGCAGGGGTCGATTCATAGCTCCTGGCCCCGCCTCTTCACTGATTGCTACTAGGTCCTCTCTCTCCCTGCTCCATGGGCTTTATCAAACCTCGCCTTAAAACTATGTATGGTTCCTGCCTCCACTACGTCACTTTCTAGGCTATTCCACGGCCTGACTACTCTATGACTGAAGAAATACTTCCTAACATCCCTTTGATTCATCTGAGTCTTCAACTTCCAATTGTGACCTCTTGTTTCTGTGTCCCATCTCTGGAACATCCCGTCTTTGTCCACCTTGTCTATTCCGCGCAGTATTTTATATGTCTTTATCATGTCTCCCCTGACCCTCCTGTCCTCCAGTGTCGTCAGGCCGATTTCCCTCAACCTTTCTTCGTAGGACAATCCCCTTAGCTCTGGGACTAGTCTTGTTGCAAACCTTTGCACTTTCTCTAATTTCTTGACGTGCTTGACCAGGTGTGGATTCCAAACGGGTGCTGCATACTCCAGTATGGGCCTGACGTAAATGGTATACAGAGTCTTGAACGATTCCTTACTGAGGTATCGGAACGCTATCCGTAGGTTTGCAGACGCCCGTATGCTGCAGCAGTTATCTGATTGATGTGCGCCTCAGGAGATGTGCTCGGTGTTATACTTACCCCCAGATCTCTTTCCCTGAGTGAGGTTTGCAGTCTTTGGCCACCTAGACTATGTTGTGTCTGCGGTCTTCTTTGCCCTTCCCCAATCTTCATGACTTTGCATTTGGCAGGGTTAAACTCAAGGAGCCAGTTGCTGGACTAGGCTTGTAGCCTGTCCAGGTCTCTTTGTAGTCCTGCCTGATCCTCGTCCAATTTGATTCTTCTCATTAACTTCATATCATATGCAAACAAGGACACTTCTGAGTCTATCCCTTCCGTTATGTCATTCACATATACCAAAAACAGCACAGGTCCTAGGACTAACCCCTGTGGAACCCCGCTTGTCACAGGCGCCCTCTCTGACACCTCGTCACGTACCATGACTCGTTGTTGCCTCCCTGTCAGGTATTCTCTGATCCATTGCAGTGCCTTTCCTGTTATGTGTGCCTGATCCTCTAGCTTTTCCAGTAACCTCTTGTGAGGAACTGTGTCGAAGGCCTTCTTGCAGTCCAAAAAAATGCAGTCGATCCACCCCTCTCTCTCTTGTCTTACTTCTGTCACCCTGTCATAAAACTCCAGTAGGTTTGTGACACAGGATTTTTCTTCCCTGAAACCGTGCTGGTTGTCGATTATACACTTGTTTCTTTCCAGGTGCTCCACCACTCTCCTCCTGATGATTTTCTCCATGACTTTGCATACTATACACTATAATGCCTCATGTCTCTCTCCCTTTTTAAAAATTGGGACTACATTTGCCATCTTCCATACCTCAGGGAGTTGGCCCAGTTTCAATGGATGTGTTGAAGATCTTTGTTAATGGCACACACAGCATCTCTGCTACATCTCTAAGGACCCACGGAGAGATGTTGTCTGGTCCCACCGCCTTTGAGGAGTCAAGTTCACATAGGAGCTTCTTCACCTCCTCCTTAGTTATGTGTACCTCATCCAGCACTTGTTGGTGTACCCCCCTGTTCTGATTTCCTGGAATCCTGCTGGTGTGTGTGTATGTGTGTGTGTGTGTGTGTGTGTGTGTGTGTGTGTGTGTGTGTGTGTGTGTGTGGTGTGCGTGTGCGTGTGTGTGTGTGTGTGTGTGTGTGTGTGTGTGGTGTGTGTGTTGTGATGTTGTGTGTAGTGTGTGTGTGTGTGTGTGTGTGTGTGTGTGTGTGTGTGTGTGTGTGTGTGTGTGTGTGTGTGTGTGTGTGTGTGTGTGTGTGTGTGTGTGGTTGTGTGTATGTGTGTGTGTGTGTGTGTGTGTGTGTGTGTGTGTGTGTGTGTGTGTGTGAGTGTGTGGTTGTGTGTATGTTGTGTGTGTGTGTGGTGTGTGTGTGTGTGTGGTGTGTTAGTTACCATTTTGTCCTAGGCACATGTCGATTAGACACTAGGCCTGTTGTATGTGTGTATTCACCTAGTTGTACTCACCTAGTTGAGGTTGCGGGGGTCGAGTCCGAGCTCCTGGCCCCGCCTCTTCACTGATCGTACTAGGTCACTCTCCCTGAGCCGTGAGCTTTATCATACCTCTGCTTAAAGCTATGTATGGATCCTGTCTCCACTACATCGCTTCCCAAACTATTCCACTTACTGACTACTCTGTGGCTGAAGAAATACTTCCTAACATCCCTGTGATTCATCTGTGTCTTCAGCTTCAACTGTGTCCCCTTGTTACTGTGTCCAATCTCTGGAACATCCTGTCTTGTCCACCTTGTCAATTCCTCTCAGTATTTTGTATGTCGTTATCATGTCCCCCCTATCTCTCCTGTCCTCCAGTGTCGTCAGGTTGATTTCCCTTAACCTCTCCTCGTAGGACATACCTCTTAGCTCTGGGACTTGTCTTGTTGCAAACCTTTGCACTTTCTCTAGTTTCTTCACGTGCTTGGCTAGGTGTGGTTCCAAACTGGTGCCGCATACTCCAATATGGGCCTAACGTACACGGTGTACAGGGTCCTGAATGATTCCTTATTAAGATGTCGGAATGCTGTTCTGAGGTTTGCTAGACGCCCATATGCTGCAGCAGTTATTTGGTTGATGTGCGCTTCAGGAGATGTGCCTGGTGTTTATACTCACCCCAAGATCTTTTTTCTTGAGTGAGGTTTGTAGTCTCTGACCCCCTAGACTGTACTCCGTCTGCGGCTTCTTTGCCCTTCCCCAATCTTCATGACTTTGCACTTGGTGGGATTGAACTCCAGGAGCCAATTGCTGGACCAGGTCTGCAGCCTGTCCAGATCCCTTTGTAGTTCTGCCTGGTCTTCGATCGAGTGAATTCTTCTCATCAACTTCACGTCATCTGCAAACAGGGACACCTCAGAGTCTATTCCTTCCGTCATGTCGTTCACAATACCAGAAAACAGCACTGGTCCTAGGACTGGACCCCTGCGGGACTCCGCTGGTCACAGGTGCCCACTCTGACACCTCGCACGTACCATGACTCGCTGCTGTCTTCCTGACAAGTATTCCCTGATCCATTGTTAGTGCCTTCCCTGTTATCCCTGCTTGGTCCTCCAGTTTTTGCACCAATCTCTTGTGTGGAACTGTGTCAAACGCCTTCTTGCAGTCCAAGAAAATGCAATCCACCCACCCTCTCTCTTTTTGTCTTACTGCTGTCACCATGTCATAGAACTCCAGTAGGTTTATGACACAGGATTTCCCGTCCCTGAAACCATGTTGGTGCTGTTGATGAGATCGTTCCTTTTTGGTGTGTGTGTGTGTGTGTGTGTGTGTGTGCGTGTGTGTGTGTGTGTGTGTGTGTGTGTGTGGTGTGTGTGTGTGTGTGTGTGTGTGTTTTGTGTGTGTGTGGTGTGTGTGTGTGTGTGTGTGTGTGTGTGTGTGTGTGCGTGTGTGTGTGTTGTGTGGTGTGTGTGTTTTGCAGTTATTTTCATAATGCACCAGTTACTTTCTCTTTAGTTTTTAAGTATTTGTTAATACACTAACTTTCAATGTTGTATCCCATTTAAATAATTCAATAACAAATATGCTAAAAATAACATACCTGTGTCAACAGGCTGAAGAATATCTTCTTTAAACGGATTTCGGTGCTCTTGCCACTTTGGGGCATCTGTGTCGCCGCGTTGTTGTTGTTGACAGTGTAAATTTTATATTTTTTATATATATAATATATATATTATATATATTATATATATATTAATATATATATATATATATATATATATTTATATATATAATAATATATATACAAAAAAAATTTTAATATAAATTTATAATTAAAAATAAAAAATATTTAATTTTTTAAATTATAGGGAAAAGAAAAGGGGGAAAAAGTAATTTTGGTAGGGAATATGCCCAAAGGGAGAGAAAAATTTGTGGGTGTTAAGGAAGTTTAAAGGCCTTGGTGAATGAAATGTTTGGTAAGGGGCTTTTTATAGAAAAGGGTTTAGAGGTTTAGGGATAAGTTGAGTGGGGGTAATGAAATGGGGGTTTTTACTGTACTTAGAAAAAGGTTTGGGTAGTTCAAAAAGTAACATTTATAGAGGGGAAAATACAGATTTTTTAGTTGTAGTACGGGGAGATAAAAGGATTGTAGTGGGTACAGGATAGAGGGGCAAAAGAAAGTGAGTTTAGCTAAGGTGAGGAAAAGGTAGATGGATACAAGAAAATGCAAGCAGCAGTATAAGAGAGAGGTGATGGTTCTTTAAGCTAAGGAGGAGGTGTTAGGGTAAGATAGAAACATCTATTGGAGGATAGATGGGCTAGGGAGAGTTTTAGCAATGGGGTAGAAGATGTATGGGGTAGGTTTTAGAATTAGTGTTAGTGTTAAGTGAAGTTTGTGGTTACAGGAAAGTGGTGTGCGGGAGGGAAGAAGAAAAAAAACGGTGGGATAATTGGGGGGTTTGGGGGGGGAAATAGGAAAAGGGGGGGGATTGGGGGGGGTGATATAAAAAAAAGGGAAGGAAGGTTAGGTTATTTGAGAAGGGAAAAAAAAATAATTCAAAAATAATAAAAAAAAATAACCACAAAAAGTGAGATGCTTTGACAAAGCAGAAATGATACAAGGAGAGAAAGTATACGGAGAGGAAAAGAGAGGTTAAGAGAGTAGTGGCGGCAATGTTAAAAAAGGGGAGCAAATGGAGGAAATGGGGTGGTGAGTTGTTATTAACAAATTTTGTTAAAATAAGTATAAATTTTGAAATGAGATTAACAAGTTGATGAAGCTAGGAACGAATAATATTGATAGGAAATATGGTGAGCGAGAGTTATTAATGGAAAATTAAAGGTATCGGAAGTCGAAAGAAAATATTTTGAGGAAATGTTAAATGTTGCTTGCCAGGTAGGGAAGCATGTGATTTTGGTGTTTAGGGCAAGGAGTGTAGTAACGTCTTGTAGGAGTGAGAAAGAGCGAGTTGTGAGTGTGGGTGAGTTCTTCAGGCAGTGGGTAGAAGTGGAAGGGGTAAGCAGTTGGGGATTGATAGATAAGAAAGAAAATGGAAATAAAAGAGGTGGTGATATAGTTTTGGAATGTGGTTGGTGTTTTATTTAATATGGGTTATGGAAGACGGGTAAGGTACCTAGGGATTGGCAGAACGCAGTGTAATTGCTCCTTTGTATAAAGGCTAAGGGACAAAAGAGAGTGTAAAAATTATAGGGGATAAGTCTGTTGAGATATACCTGGATAAAGTGCATGGTATGAGTTATTCATTGAAATATTAAGAGTAAGAAGGAGAGTTAGGATAGCACGATGAACAAGAGGCTCTTTAGGGAAGGATAGGGGGAGTGTAGACTAAGTGTTTACAGTGAACATTTAGCGGTGAACAGTATTTACGATTAGGCGTTAAAGAGGTTTTTGTGGCATTTATGGATTTGGAAAAGGGGTATTATAACAGGGTGATAGGGGGCAACGTAGGTACTGAAAGCAGTGAAGAGTTTTATGAGGATAGTGAGGCTCAAGTTAGAGTATGCAGGAGAGAGGTAGATTATTTCCAGTAAAGTAGGCCTTAGACAAGAATTGTTTGATGTCACCCATGGTTGATCAAGATGGTGCGGAGTTTATAAGATTAAAAAAAAAAAGAATATAACACAAAGTGCGAGTTTGTCTCTCAGTCTGCTTTTCGCTGAATACACTGTGCTTTTGGAAGATTCCTATTACTATACAGGGGGTAACCCAGCCGGGATTGATGGATAAAGATGAAATGTTAAAAGCGGGTGGGGATATAGTTTTGGAGGTGGTTGGTGCAATTATTTAATCAACTGTCTGGAAGAGGGTAAGGTACCTAGGGTTGGCAGAGAGCATGATAGTTCTTTGTATAAAGGCAAAGGGGATTAAAAGAGAGTTGCAAAATTTATAGGGGGTTAACGTGTTCTGTTGTGTGCTACCTGGTAAAGGTATGGTTCTGAGTTATAATGAAAGAATTAAGAGTAGACGGAGAATTGGATGACTAGCAGATGTACAAGAGGCTTTTAGAAAGTGTAGGGGGTGTGCTGGACAAGGAGCTTTACAGTGGAAACTTATAAGTGTCCAGTATTGAGATAAGGCTAAAGAGGTCTTTTGTGGCATTTATGGATTTGGAAAAGGCGTATGACTGGGTATAGGGGGGCAATGTGGCAGATGTTGCAAGTGTATGGTGTAGGAGGTAGAGTTACTGAATGCAGTGAAGAGTTTATCCGAGGATAGTGAGGCTCAAGTTAGTGTTTGTAGGAAAGTGGGAAATTTTTTCCCAGTAAAAGTAGCCTTAGACAAGGATGTGTGATGTCACCGTGGTTGTTTAATTATATTTATAGATGGGGTTGTAAGAGAAGTAAATGCGAGGGTCTTGGCAGAGGGCGAGGATGTTAAAGATAAAGGTATTCACACACAAGTGGAGTTGTCACAGCTGCTCTTTAGCTGATGACATGTGCTCTGGGAGATTCTGAAGAGAAGTTGCAAGAGATTGATGGGATGAAATTGGTAGGGAGTGCCCCCCCCCGCAGACACTTTAAAAAAAAAAAAAAAGGGGGTGAATAATACAGGATAGAGTAAGTTATGAGGATTAACAAAAAGATTTGTGACGAAAGATTGATATCGATTGGAAGGGAGAGAGTATGGAGGGAGGTGAAAGTATTCAGATATTGGGAGTGGACGGTGTCAGCGATGGGTCTATGAAAGTTGAGCGTGAATCATAGAATTGTGAGGGAAAAGAGTGTCGTGGTGCTCTTAGGAGTTGTGGAGGACAAAGAACTTGTCCTGGAGGCAAAAGAGGGGAATGTATGAGTGTATAGTATTACCAACACTTCTATATATGCGGTGTGAAAGCGTGGGTGATGGATGTTTGCAGCGAGAGAAGGCTGGAGGTATGGAGATGTCATCGTATGAGGGCAATGTGTTGGGTGAATTAATGCAGAGAATCGTAGTTAGTTTGGAGTTTCGCGAGGAGGTGCGGGTTTACAAAACTGTTGTCCAGAGGCTGAGAAGGGTGGTTGAGGTGGTTCGGACATGTAGGAGAATGGAGCGAAACAGAATGCTTCAAGAGTGTATCAGTCTGTAGTGGAAGGAAGGACGGAGGTGGGGTAACGGTAGGGGTCCGGCCTAGGAAGGGTTTGGTCTGGAGGAGGGGGTTAAGGGAGGTTTTGTGTGCGAGGGGGCTTGGGACTTACAGCCGGCATGCGTGAGCGTGTTTGATAGAGTGGAATGAGACAATTGGTTTTTATACTTTGAACGTGTGTTGGAGTGTGAGCAAAGTAACATTTATGAAGGGATTCAGGGGAACGGCAGCCTCGGACTTGAGCCTGGAGATTGCGGAAGGAACAGTGCCATGCACTCTGAAGGAGGGTGGTAATGTTGAGTTTTAAAAACTGTAGTGTAAAGCACCCTTCTGGCATAAGACAGTGGATGGAGTGAATGATGGTGGTGAAAGTTTTTCTTTTTCAGGGCCACCCATGCCTTGGTGGGAATCGGCCGGTGTGTTATAAAAATAAATAAAAAATATATAATATATATATATATATATATTTATATATTTATTTATATATATATATATATATATATAGTATATATATATACAAAAGATTAGGTTGATGAAAGAATTGGATATCAGATTGGAGGATGAGATTATGGGAGGAGGTGATCGTTATCAAGATATTTGGGAGTGGACGTGTCAGCGGATGGGTCTATGAAAGATGAGGTGAATCATGCAATTGATGAGGGAAAAAGAGATGAGTGGTTGCACCTTAAGAGTCTGTTGGAGACAAAGAACTTTTTCTTTGGAGGCATAAGAGGGGATGTATGAGAGTATAGTTTTACACGCTCCTTATATGGGTGTGTAGCGAGTCGGGGATGAATGTTGCAGCGGGAGAAGGCTGGATGGCAAGTGGAGATGTATGTTGAGGGCAATGTTGTGGTGTGGATATAATGCGAGAATTCGTAGTTTGGAAGTTAGGTAGGAGGTCGCGGGGTTTACCAAAATGTTGTCCAGAGGGCTGAGGAAGGGTATGTTGTGGTGGTTACGGACATGTAGAGAGAATGGAGAGAACAGTATGGACTTCAAGATGGTATCAGTCTGTAGTGGTAGGAAGGCGGCGGTAGGGGTCGGCCTAGGAAGGTTGGTAGGGCAGGGGGAGTAAAAGGAGGTTTTGCCTGTGCGAGGGGCTTGGACTTCCTGCAGGCATGCGTCTGAGCGTGTTTGATAGGAGGAATGGCGACAAATGGTTTTTAATACTTGGTCGTGGCTGTTGGACGTGTGAGCAAAGTAACTTTATGAAGGGTTTTCAGGGACACCGGCAGGCCGGACTTGAGTCCTGGAGATGGGAAGTACAGTGCTGCATCTGAGGAGGGGTTTTTGTTAATGTTGAAGTGTTATATACTTGTAGTGTAATGCTACCTTCTGGGTGTCAAGACAGTGATGGATGTGAATGATGGTTGAAAGTTTTTTCATTTTCGGGCCCACCCTGCACTTGGTGGGAATCGAGCCAGTGTGACATTAAAAATATATCTTTATTTATATATAGATATATATTATATATATATATATACTATATATATATATATATGTCGTGCGATTAGGCAGAACTATGCAATCTGGCTTAATAGCAACGCTCATCTTGTCTATAGGACAGTGAATATTATGTATGCATTTAATTTCGCCAAAATCATTATGAACCTAA